TTATTCATCGTGCCTAGGAAGCCTAAATATAGAGAGGCAGAAATCAGCAGTAACGTTAACTCTTCTAATAGATGTGTGTATGTGTTTGAAAAAAATGATGTAACCAAAAGCATTTTAAGACATTTGTTGTTGTTGTTGTTAAGTAGGTATGCAATTAAGCATGGCTTATAACCTGGCTGACATTAGTAGTATGTTTGTATAAGCTCGATTGTGTTTGGTTGAAAATTAGCTATTATCAGATGTTAGAAAAATACTTACTTTTATTGTACAGATATTATTTTGTGAACTCTTAACTTTTTTGAAAGGGAGGGAGGGGGAGGTATGCCAATGTTTCTCTGCTCCAAATGTTTTATCATAAACAGTAGTGAAGATCTGAGCAGCATAGGCAACAGACTTAGTGCTTATATAAGTATTTGTGTCAGCTAGAAAAAGAGCATAGTCCAGGGAAGAGCATCATGGCCAGCTTGTAAATTTGGAGTTTATTTTGGTTTTCATTTTGCTGTTACTCACTGGTTGGGAATATTTAGGAAGAAAATATTTTTAAATTACCATCAATAAAACTTGGAAGTGTGGATATTTTAGTATTTCGCTTAGACTTAAATAACAGTTCTAATTTTGTTGTTACAAAGGACTATCCTTTCCTTTCCTTTCCCTCAGCTATTGGTTCAGGGCAAGGTGATTTGGGCTTTATTCACGTATGTTAAAAAACCTGAGAAACACAAGATTGTTGACTGGTCTGCAGCACAACATGAAGAATTACAACTACATGCAATTGCCACTTTGTCATCAGTGGCCCCTTTACTGGTAGAAGAGTATATGCTGTGTCAGGGAAATGCACGAGTCCTTGCATTTCTAGAATGGTGTCAGAATGAAGGTGAGTGAAAAGGGAACACTTCAGCAATGTGTACTTAAAGTATAATGATAGATTACTGATGAAAGTGGAATCTAATTCCTGTTAAAGCCTTGTGCCTTATAAAAAAAAAAATCAATTACAGAATTAATTAAAGACCTAAATATGAAAAGCTCAGCTATAAAATTCTTAGTTGAAAACATGGGAACATATCTTTATGGTATCAGGATAGGAAAAAGTTTCTGTGAAGAGAAACAAGAATTATAAAGTTTCTTTTAAAAGAAACAAGCTGTAGCAGGGGTGGAGAACCTTGTTTTCTGCCAAAATTTCTAACATCATTCACAGGCCATACAAAATTATCAACTTAAAAATTTGCCTGCTCTTTTGGTTGCTTGATGATGCATGGAGGGGATTGTAATCATTGCAATGACAAGAAGTATGATAGGATGAATGTAA